CCAGTTAGTAATCGTCTAGAAAACTATCCACAAAATACTTTATCCGTAACCTACTTATTAAAATAACTCTCTAATAACTACATTAAATATTACATAAAAATATATTAAAAATATGTACATAACATACTCATCATTACCCAAATTTCTTAAAAACTTGCCTTTTATTCTAGTTTGAAATAACCTTCTTTATTGAAAATGCAGCGACACACACACATGCATGTATGGGTTCGCCTATTACGTTTTGTTCTTAGATGTCATTGTCCACAGTACTATGCTCCTGTCGTGAGATTACGTAATCTATATAACGATTGCTAGCTAATGGACTTTGAGCCATTTATTGAACGATTCTCTCGGTACCTAATTTGTTAGGATAATTTATTAATTTATTCATTTAATTTATTATAATTTTTGAATTAATTGTGGGTCTTATAAAACATTAAAAAGTTGACGTTAATTCAACAGTTACAATAAACTCATACCATTAGATTAATAAATTAGATCAATTTTTTAGGTCTGTATTATTCGTGTTGATTAGTCTTTCATGGAAGTGGATTCACTTTTTGTTTTTTGGGTTCAACGGTCAGGAATATCTGTGTCAATTTACGCATAGCTCGACTAATCTCCTACATAACTTAACCGCAAGAGATTATGTGCATCTTGATTTTGAAATTTGGGTAGAGCGGTTAGTTAGTTGAATAAGTTGAAGCTAAACTTAAAAGGTTTAAAAAAATCAAAATTTTAAAAAGTTTTAAAAAATTGAATTTTTTGATTGTACTTAAAAAATTATTTAAGTTTGATTCGTTTAAAAAATAAGTCGAACCTGAACAAACCCACTACAAGTCAAACTCGAGTTTGTTGAATTTAAGTCAAATTTGTCGAACTCGTTTTTTTAAAGGAGCATAAAAAATTACTCAAGTTTGACTCGCTTAAAAATCGAATCAAGTTTAAACGAGCTAAAAATAATCCAAATTCGAACCGAACTCGTATAAATTAACAGCCTTACTTTTAGGTTCACAAAAGCAATTGAAGTTATGTGCCAAGTATTGGTTATGACTTTTGGGGTCATAATTAATTATTCTTGGGGGGTTTGCCCGAAATTATCCATAATTCTTCAAAATTGTTTGGATATGTTTTAAATTGATTAGATATCTTCAAATTGCAGTAGCTTGGCGTGAAATTACTTAAGAGATTGCAATTGTGTGTTTGGTGTTCTAAATTACTTCCAAACTTTTTTTTTAATGGTTCTATTTGTGTTTTTTTGTATACTGCAATTGCCATTTTGATATGTTAGTTATAAAATTTGGAAAAATAATTTGTGTAATATATATGACATTGAACTTGTGAACCATTATTTTTCTAATTTTTTTAAATAGTTACGAAAAAATAAGAAAGTCAAGGTTAGAATTATCACCTCCTAAATAAAAAAAATGGCAATTTTCTAAGTTGTGACCATCAGTGCCACAATAGAGATAGAATAATTATAAATTAATATTTAATTAAAAAATAGGGAAAAATTCATAGACATCTCCTGAGTTTTGGCAATATTAAACGAACATCTCCTGACATTTTATTAATAACACAAAGACCCCCTAAGGTTTGAATTTATTGCATAGAGACCCCTATCTCCCTTCCGTCAATGTTCTAACGGAAATTGATAATTTTATCCCAAAAAAATTTATTATTTTTACAATTGTCTTTCTCCAAATTTAGTACTAAAAAGATAAAAAATTTAATAAAATCAAATAAAATTTGATTTAATACCCAAAAATTTGATTTAATTTAGTACTCCAAAAAATTGATTAAATGAATTTCAATATTAATTTGATAATAATAAAAATTAATTTGACATTTGACAAAGTTAAATATAAATTGGATAAAATTAAATGTCAATTTTGATAAAATTATATATTAATTTACAATATAAGATTCATTTTGTGTTAAATATTATTTGGTGTTTATAGTCAATGTGCTATTTTTTATTTACATTAAATGTTATTTATAAATTAAGAAGCAAGTGATAAAATACATGCCGTTAGATATATAAAAACTTTGAATTAGTTTCATGGAATAAATAATTGCATAATATATAATTTTATTTGTTTTATGGAGTAAATAACAAGTGAAAATAACAAAGGGGAAAAAAAGATAATAGTACGAGAGATGGAGTATAAAATAGATAGATAGAGAGAGTTACATAAGAGATAAGAATCTTAGAGTTGTAAAAAGAATGAAAGTTCAATTAGAACCGTTGGATCAAAAATGATTTGAGTCGCGAAAAGTTCAAGACAAAGAATTTTAACTACTTTATTATATAAATTAATAAGTGGGTGGGGGGTGAGTAAAATTTGTCTATTTGTGATATTATATATACAAATATATACATATCACAGGTTTAGTAGGATAAGGCGGAGATAAGTTTCAGTCCATTCCCGTCTATATTCCCACACGGGTTTATATGAGCATTTTTGTATACATCTACCATTCAATACGTATAATTCATCCATGATTCAAATAGAGTTAGTTTGGATGAATACCCATTTTTCTCCAATTCACTATCATCCCTCCTGTCGCCACCATCACCTTCACCACTCCACCACCAATTAGGGTCAAGGTCGGGGTTAAGCTAAAGCTCGAGCCCAAGTTCAAGGTTGGGGCTGACATTTAGGGTCCGTGTCTTGGGTTAGGTTTGAGTCCAAGGTTTGGGATTTGGGTTTAGAGACAAGTCTAGCTCGGGGTGGGTCCGGGTATGGGGTTTTGGTCCGTGTTCGGGGTCAAGTCCAGTTTTGGGGTTTGGATTCGAGGTCCGAGTTCGAAGTTAGGTTCGAGGTCAAGTCAAGTTCAAGTCCAGATCTAGAGTCGAGTACTAGTTTGGGTTGACTCTGAGTCTTGGGTCAGGCCCGGGTCTAGGTTCAGGTGATGGGTCTAAGGTTGAGTTTGAGCCTGGGATGGAGTCCGAGTCCAAGATCAGATGTCGTGTTCCGATCCGGGTCCGAGTCTTATAGTTATCCAAATATTTGAGTGGATTTTCAATTTTATTTCAGTACTTAATCATAATTGTTATCAAACATTGAAATGATAACATACATTTCATTCCTATGTTCATTCCATTCTCACTTTCATTCTATTATCATGTAAAAATATTTTTACGTACAAACCCAACGAGGGGTGTAAAGTTAGAGCTCAAAATTATTGGTTGGAAGGGAAGGGTACACCACCAAATTTATCTTGAGGTCTTAATTTAATTGGAAAATGCTATTTAGATTTTATTTTAGGACCTTATTTAGAGACCTAATGATATACAACTATTGGATTGGTTATAAGTAGAGGTGGCAATCTTAACTCATTACCCATTAATCCGCCTAACTCGCCCATAAATAAATGGATTGAGTACTTATATTAATTAATATGGGTTCCAAATAGATTGAGTAATATGATTCATTTTAATTAAGTGAGTTAATATGAATTACAAATGGGTACCTATTGTGTTGAATATTTATCTTTTTATTAAATAGCACAAGTAATAAATAAAATATATATATTAATATACCAAAAAATACACACACTATTACACCAAAAAATACACACATATACACTAATACACTAAAATATACACACACTAGTACACCAAACATAACCCATGGGTTGACCCACGACTCACATATTGATCCATGACCCATGACCCACAACTAACTCGTAGCCCACAATTGACTCCGACAGATTATGTGTATTTTTTTTTTATTAAATGTGTTTTAGTTTTTGTATTAGTATATGTATGTGGATTTTTGGTGTATTAGTGTGTATATTTTTAATGTATTAGTTTGTGTTTGTTTTGGTGTATTTGTGTGTATGTTTTTGATATATTAATGTGTCTATTAAGAATTTTAATTATTTTATGGGTTAATCGATTTAATCAAACCCATTATAACTCATTTACTCAATCTAATTTAACTCAACTCATAACCAATCCAACCCACTCATTTATCACCTCTAGTTATAGGCTTCATCTAACATTAGAACTCATAATTAATCCTTTTTTTTATATATATCTATATTTTTTGTGGAGGGGGAGGGGGAGGGGGAGGAGGAGAAGGGGGTTTGAACCCTTAACCTCAAGAAGGCAAAGCCTTCACAAGGTAAAGAATACCATTGGACGAAAGGTCTATTGGTATATAATTAATCCAATTGTTACATTAAAATCTCATCATTAAGTCCTTACATAAGTTCCTCAAATAAGGTCCCTATAGCACTGCTCAATTTAATTTAGATCCTCCGCTGGCCTATGGTACTCGGTAGAACCATTTTCCATTTCTTGTTCCTGTTGTGTATTATAATTATCACTCTAAAGCCTAGACTCTTCTTTTGGTTTGTTCATGTTGCCCTTTCAAATTTTGTGCCAGAAAATAGTAAGAGGCCAGAGACTGGGCCAAAATCTTGCGGCCCAGGTACAGGCCTCTGCCTTAGGCCACTTATATTTTATTCTAAAATCATATGTAAAATGGGAAAATATCAGTCAAACAAAGCACCTGTATTATAAATAAGGTAATTTTCGGCCAAGAAAACCTTCGGCCCTGGCACTAACCCGAAGCATGACAGACCGGTTTTTGTCTCAACCCCTAATATAATCAGGAAAAAGTTCGCCTATGCTTTTAGGTGCATTTTATTACCACAAACAATCAGTCAAACCAAAAACTTTCTAGTCAGGCGTTTACAACAGGTGCAGACAGAATCAGTAAAAAAACAAAAAAAGAACCATCATCCAGAAAACATTAAACACAAAGCATGAGGTTACCTCTAAGTAAGAGAAATAAAAGGTTTTACAATATATAAAAGTTCTTAACAGTTTTTGCCTATGTTATTCAAACAGGTCATGGAGGATTCTGTGTCTCCGACATTCCTATCAGATGAACCCTTGTGAAGTATCCCGAAAGAGCCACCACAGGAGATGCAATTGTAGACAGACAGTTAACTCCCCATTCATTTGTTGCCAATGTTGCTTCGAATTATCTCAATTCAGCTTGGGATGGGGTGCTCGATGCTTTGTCCTGGATATGTTGTTTTGCTTCGGCATTCTGCATATTTGCAACTTTTTCTGCTTCGGCTTGCTCAAGCAAAGCCTGTTTTTGCATGGCTTTCATCATCTCCTTCATTGTCTTCTCCTCTCCCTCAAGCTGCACCTTCATTATGAACTCAGCCTCCTTGTCAATAGGTTTGAAATACTCTTCAATCGTAGCTTCCTGTACATTAGCACCATTACTTAAAAACTTCGAATAATTTAAGGGATCAAAGCCAAGAAATTCCCCTTGAGAGAAAGGATAAATTAACTTAAAAAGAAATAAAGAAAAATACGAACAACTGGGCACCTGTGACAACCGCAAAAGGCCTCTTAAATATAATAAGCCCAGAAATAGATTCTGGCTATGACAAACTAAGGCATGATTCGTTTTGAAGTGGTGGGAAAAAGCTTTAATTAATAAATCCAGAAAGCACAAGAGAAGGCAAACAACTTGAGTTCCCTTTGAGTGACCTTGATTTCCATCTAAAGAAGCTCTTTACACTTGGAGAATGGGCATTCAGAAGTGATCACCATCAGTAGTGTGGTGCTTAAATATTCTTGATATTACAATCCTGAAGTGATTCTTTTCCTTTTCAGAGCGCTGAAATGAGATAAAACTAAACCAGAGGTTAGCTTGAGTGGTTTGAGTAATATGCCCTCCCATCCCCAAAGAGAGGACTAGGGTTCAATTTCAGGTTAGGACATGCCTTTGTGCACAATGTAGATGAAGGGTTGCAGAAGTAGCAAAAAATCTCATGATTCTGTGAAATTTTCAAAAGAATGCGAAGAGAAAGGGAAATTCACTGAGATCGAAAATGTGAAAACCCAACTCAAACCATGGCCGTCTAGAGGACTGGAAAGCATAGACAAGCTACTAGGTGGAAGAAAATTTTTTAATGGTGACCGACCAATCAGCAAAAGTAGCATAAGTTGATATAATCCAACCAATCCCCCTCATGAAGAGCTTCAGAACCACAAATGGCTTTCTCATGAAGAGAACTCATTCTCCACAAAGATTTCAAAAACATAAACATGAGAAAAAATGCATCAAAATCATTTTTTGAGGCAAAAATCACCTCCTAAATCCTTCATCATAGTTTTAGCAGCAACTGCGATTACCATCACTATTCCATTATAGTCTAGCTCCCACGTTTTGCCCTCGGGTAAGCAACTACTCCATCTACATCCAAGCTTCCCCATTCACTTCTATCCATGTCTAAGATGGCCCATCATGTGATTCATTCACTATATTCTAAAATTCAATACACACAGAACAATCAGTAAAAATAAAACATACCGTATCTTCTAACTTTTTATTCAACGCTTGCATCTCCTCAACCATTCGCCGCACCTCCGACAAAATAACTTGTTCCGGGATCTTCCTCAGGGCTGCCTTCCTTTCTTGTGCCTAGCAAGAGAGAGAAATAAAGAGAAAAATTACACTGACACTCAATAACTACGAAGAAAATTGACACAATCACAATGAGGATAAAGAGAATTACAACACTGAACGAAATGATAATTGGGAATGTTAAAATAAATCAATTAATATCTCTTCATACTCCACAGCAATTTCTAATCAGATGATAAATTATTCTTTGTAATTACAAAAATCCACGGCATATTTGACAAGAAACAGTAAGATAAAGTAGGAATTGAGATCAAAAAGTGATTGAGCAAGAGAAACAAACCTGTTGGAGACGAGTTTGAAGCTGCAAGCGATAAGATCTGATTCTTCGTTCTTCGTAACCAGAAAGAACCCTAACATAGAACATAGCTTTCCTCCCAAATTCTCTTAGCTTATCCATCGTAACAACAACAACAACAACAATCAATCAATCAATCAATCAGTTTTCTTTCCTCAGGAAGGACATCAATTCCTTTCCTCACATTCGAAGTATTCTTCAAACAGTAATGAAGGATCACTTTCCGAGCTATGATCTTTGATTGTTTTGAAGCGGTGTTCAACTTCAGTCTATTTCCCGAACCCATTATATCTCGGGTTTGTCCTGGATCGGGTATAGCCTCAGGGTTGAACGGTTAACTATAACGTTGTCAAAAACAAAAAAAACCCGACTTCAAATTTTGTCGTCCAGTACTTGAATTCGAATATTCACAGTAATAATAAGTCCTTGGGATCTAAACTTAGTTTTCAGAGTTCGCTTGGTTACTGTGTTAAAATTGGATGAATTAAATAAAATAATACAATCTCACACAATACAGATGAATTAAATACAAGATTAAATATAATATTAGAATAATACGTAATTTTATTTAGTATTTGACAATATACAATATAAGTGTCAGATAGTAGTTATTTAATCTAATTAGTTGTTTAGTTAGAAAATTATTTCATCGTACTAATGTTGAATTAACAAAAATATCCTAAATCAATGTTTGTTACATTGATGACAGCTTGAATTTATCACTTGGAGGGTTATAATAGTAAATGTGTAGATTAATACGTTTGAGTTGCATTATAATACCACATTTTTTGGTGGTATTAAAAAACCTCCGTAATACAGGTCTATCGTATAAAATTAAATTGAGAAGTAATATTAACTTGTATCTCATTGAAATATAAAATATAAAGTGAGTATATTTGAGAGTGTATGCAGCATGTGGTGAGCTTAGTTACTAATGGCGTAGGTATAGAAGAGATAGGCTTAATAGTTTGGTAATGAAAAATTAAATGGGGTGAAAATAAAAATTTGTGGGATGGAAATAGCCCCACCCAATAATATATAGCATACATTAGTATAATTCTATATAATAGTTGTGTAAATTATGAACCAAAATCTGCACAAGTATCTTTTTCTCAACAAAATCAATTAGACAAAAATCTCTCATAAATTAAAAACCTTGATCAAAATCCTAGCCATACTAAATCAAAAACCATTAATTTTAAAATAAGTCTAAATCGAGAAATACTGATAATAAAAAAAACCTACATGTTTTTTCACCATGCAAACTAAACAAATTATTCTATGCCCAACACTAAAGTATTATTCATGTTAATTCCTTTGTTTTTTTTAACAGTCATGTTAATTCATCTTATCATTTTCATTGTTCTTGCCTTTCAGATTTATGTGGTCATCAAACCCGGCTCACCATTCTATCGACTAAATATTAAATATAATAGTGATACTATATTATCATTAATGACATAATATCACCAATCAATAATAGAACTTCAAATGAGTAAAATAAACCCACTAAAACTTACTTAGTAGAAGAGTGGAGAATTATTTGTTTACAGATCAGTTATTAATTTTTGTGACACCCATCTGCTTATTTGTTTTAATATAACTAGTTGGTAATATCATATTACCTTTTCATGTGGTATCAGTATTGTCATGAATATTTACTCCATTCTATCACATATAGTCAGTACAACTCAACTCGATAAAACTTCATTCCAATATTTTTAAGATCGACTACATAAATCATATTTCAACATTGTACTCTATTAAGAACCATGTTTTTGGGCTTCCCCTACCACCTATATAGTCCTCCTGCACTGGAGGTAAAATCTTAAGGTGGCAAGTGTAAAGAACCTACCAAAAAATAAAAAAATTCATACTGGAGATGGTTAATTTCAAGCTGTTTTCATGCTTCCAGAAGAAAATCCATTTATGTACACCATTAGCCACACACACACACACAAGCATAATCTGTAAAATT